ACAATTTTAAAAACTGGAAATTTAAATCAAACCTTTATTGAACCTTCAAGAATTACAAAAAATAGTAAAACATGTATTGATAATATATTAATAGAAAATTTATATAAAAAACACAAAAACAATCAACACACATTTCTCGGATCACTTGGCACAAAAACTAACAATAAAAACAAATTACTCAAATGAAAAAAATAAATATATTTTTATAAGACCAATAACAGAAAAAAATATACGTATATTCAAGTCTTGCCTCGCCAAAATAAATTGGACCACTATATTGGCAAGGCAAACTGCAGAAGACGCATTTAATGGTTTCCATGATGTAATGATGGACCTTTTCACATACTGCTTCCCTGAAAATAAAATAAATTCAAATAAATCAAAAAACAATAAAAATTCACAAGAATTTCATGCATTAAAAAATAAACTGGATGCTGCCCATACCATAGCTATTGTAAAAAAGGATGCCGAATCAGAATTATTGTACAAAAAGCTTAAAGAAACGTATAAAACATGCCTAGAAGAAAGCAATAGGCAAAAAAATCTACTCTCTAAAAATGAAATAGTCAAAATTCTACTATTTGAATTAGTAACAGCATTTTTTACTAATAAAATAGTCGTTTTCACTTTTAAATAGTTATTTTTTACTATGTAAATAGTTAAAGTTTGACTAATTTAAGATTAGTCACCATATTTGACTATTTCTGACAGTTAAAAGTAACTAATTTCTTTAGTCGTTTACGGCCAACAACAAAGTATTATTTGAATTAAATGCATATACCTCTCCATGGTTAAATGACCCATAAAACAAATAAAGATGCAAAAAGTTTAGCTCAAAATAGCAACACAAATAATATATTAAACTTTAAAATATTATGAACAATATTTATTGACAAATAAAATTAATTTTTTTAAGAGCGGCTGACAGCCGAATGCGTTAAGAGGTTAGCTTGACAAACTTGTCAAGTGACAGACCTGAGTTCAATCCCAGGCTGGGTCAAAACTTTTTTTTAATTTAAATTTACTAATTTGACTATTTCATTCAGTGGAATTTGACTAATTATTAGTGACTGCTTTTTCACTATGACAATTAATCAAATATGATTTAGTTATTTTTGACTAATTCATTTTAAGAGAGTAAACTACATATATTCCTCGGACGACAAAAGTAAAGCATCGTGGAATATAATAAACTCAAAAATTAAAAAAATTAAAAAACCCACCGAATCTACTCTATTAGCTAATGATTTTAATAATTTTTTTATAGATACAGTGAGAGAATTGTCTGGAAATATATCACATTGCCTATCTGAAAACCTTCAAAAAAATTCAAACAATTATGTGTCCAACTCTATATTTTTATATGATACGTCACCAGTCGAAATTCAAGATGCAAAAAATACCCTGGATATTTATGGCTTGTCTGTTAAATTATTAAAAGACATAATACATGAAATTTCTGAACCATTAAGCCATATAATAAATCAATGCTTTCAACAAGGCACTTTTCCTGAAAAGCTAAAAGTTGCAAAAATTGTTCCTGTATATAAAAAAGAAGATCGAAATACATGTAAAAACTAAAAAGCTTTATCAAAAGTTTTTGAAATTCTCTTAAAAAATCGCCTCTGTCAATTTTTAGAAAAAAATAAATCTATCCACAGATCCCAATATGGGTTTCAAAAAGGAAAATCCTCAATAACAGCCATGGTGGAAATAGTACAAGAAATACACAATGGCTTAAACAAAAAAAGAGAACCTGAAATCGCTTGTCTAGATTTAAGTAAGGCTTTTGATTGCATAAATCATGGAGTCTTAATTAAAAAACTGTCTTATTATGGTGTTAGAGGAGTAGCAAACAATATATTGTCTTCGTACTTGTCCAATAGAAAACAAGTAGTATTTTGGAACGGAAATTTCTCAGATACACGGATAAATACAATTGGAGTACCTCAGGGGTCCATTCTAGGGCCTTTGTTGTTTATCTTATATATTAACGACTTACCTTGGAACGTAAAATCATCCAAAATATGCATTTACGCAGATGACACGACGCTTATAAACCCAGCCCAAACAAACCAATCCATAAAGGAAGCTCATCATTGGTTCGAAGCAAATGGACTTCAACTGAATGTTGAAAAGACACAAAAAATTGTGTGTACCACTAAACCAACAGAAAAGGAACATGTTAAAATCTTAGGGGTCAACGTAGACAATAAACTTACCTGGTCGATTCACATTGATGAATTGTCCAAAAAACTCTCATCCGCAATCTACTGTGTGAGAAGGATACGAAACATCGTTAACGAAGATGCAGCAATCACTACCTACTATGCCCACTTCCACAGCAAGATGTCTTATGGTATTCTACTATGGGGCGGATCTCCTGAAGCAGACAAAATACTCCTACAACAAAAAAGAGCTCTACGCTATTATTATGCCAGAGTAAGTCGACAAACGTCATGTCGACCTCTCTTTAAAAAGTACAAAATACTTACCATGCCAGCAATTTATATACTCGCCTGTCTCGTGTATGTCTATAAAAATATTAAAAACTATGAAGATCACACTAACACTGGATATAATACGAGATTTAAAACAGCTTTAAGAATTCCGAAAAATAGAATAAGTAAAACGCAAAATTCATTTGATTACCTCGGAGTATCATTTTTCAACTTGCTACCTAATGATTTAAAAAGCAAACCGTTTAAGCATTTTAAAACTACTCTTAATAATATTTTTATGATTATCAAGAATTTTTAGACTTATCCTTTTAGCCATATTTTATGTATTTAGTGTATGTACCATGTCTTGTTCGTATTATCATTATATACTTAAAATTTTCCTTTTGTATGACGTACCTTGTAAATTTTGAAGGTTAATAAACTTATTCTTATTCTTATTCTTATTCTTATATAGATGACTGTAGTATACTACATAACCATTATAGTGATTATGTCGTTGAAGATAATCACAACAGCGATTCAGGACTTGTCTGTGAAGAGTCTATAGAAAATAATTTTTTAGGGTCAGATAGTGAAGAATTTGAAATTTTTTAAGAATTTGAAAAAAAAACAAAAAAGTTACTATGGAAAAAATAATTGTAAAAATTAGCTATAGTTTGAAGCAGTTATTTTTGCTGTTAAAAAAAGATATATTTAAATTTTTTTTGTTTATGTTATTTTTTAAGGTATATTCTTCGAAATAAAGATCGTTTTATTTTGTTTGGTTTAATATTTTTTATAGTTTAATCACAAAGTTTGCACTACTGCACTTTTTGTACATGTTTTGATTAAAACCTATTTGTTTAAATTTTTCTTTTATTCAGGTATTATTTTTGGTGATATTCTAACTTTATATATATTTCCTAGTATCCCCAAAGCCTCAGATAAAAAAAATAATATAAATTATAATTTTAAAAGGCAGGTGTCTCTCAGACCCCTTAGTACCGTTTATGTCCTGAAAGTCGTACAGTACCGGTAACGGGTTAAAGGAAAGGGCAAAATTTGACGGAAAAATGGAAAAAAGTGGACTTGGGCCTTTTCAACACCGGAAACATTTGGTCCCCCGATAGGTCTCGTAGGCAAAAAAAAGAATGCAAATTTCGAGGGTCCACCTTCAACGGCCTCCGAGCTACGGCGCGCCGGCGGTTCGAAGAAAACCGATACCCAGACACTCACAAAATGAAAAAATTAAAATTCGATTACGAGTCGATACATACATACCTTTGAAGTTGCCCTAGCTTTCCTCCTTGTCACTTTTTTGGGATCCGCTGCTCGCGCTATAGGGAAGCACGCTTCGAGCGCTTCCCAACTAGAATGCAACAAGAAGCATGCGATTTGTTTAATGCAAGGTATCCAGCTCGACATATTACTCGTTCAACTGTTAGTAAAATTGAACAGAAATTTAGAGAGACTGGACATGTCAAAGATATTCCAATACCTCACCGTCAGAAAATTAGTGAAGACGCAAAAATTGACATTTTGTTACCTGTAGAAGAAGATCCTTACAGTGCTTCTAGCCTAGTCGCAGCTGAAAGTCAAGTCAGTCAACGCAAATTGTAGGTACTGAAGCAGAGAAAATCCTCATTAGATGGTAGAGGCACATTCTCAATTTCCGCAAGAAGGGAATGTCTGAGCGGGAATAGTGGAAACTCGGATCATAGGTTCTTTCTTTTTTGACGAGAATCTGACAGGACAAAGATATTTGGAATTTTTGCAAATCTCTCTTCTTCCTACATTAGCGGAAATGTTTTCCAACAAGGATGGAGATTCCAAAGTAATACTCTTTGGTTTCAGCACCTCCGCACTATGCACGTCCTGTCCGTACTTTTTTTGACACCTGTTTTTCTGAAAGGTGTATTGGAAGACGAGGACCGATAGAGTGGCCCACTAGATCTTCGGATCTCACCCCTCTCGATTATTTCTTATGGCTACATTAAATCAAAAGTCTACATCAACAGACCACAAAATTTAGAAGACTTGAGAAATCAAATTCGTGAAGAATGTCGCTGTGTCAGTGCGGAAGTCATTCTAAACGTTGTCAGAGAATTTTCGGATAGGCTTGCTTACTGCCAAGAAACCAACGGGTGGCAATTCTAGCATGTAGTTTGTAAAAAAGGTGTAATGTTTTTAAATTTAAAAAAAATAAATCACAAACTTTAAGTTTAATAATACCAAAAACTATCAGCCCAACAGGTGTGCCTATTGCTAAAACCAGAATTTCATAATCTATTCGAATCTGCAAAAAAAGTAAGGGGTGCAATAAAAAAAATGGCCGATGACGTCATAGCTTCTAAAAAAATGGCGCCAAATATAAAAATGTTACATCAAAACGTGCGTAATTGAAAAACAAAATCGACCTGTTCAAGGATTTTTTTTTAAATTACAGGAAAATTTTAAATGAATTTGTTCCATACTTTTGCCGGTCACTGTATAGATACACGTTTTCTGTCTTTTACTATTTCAAAATGCAATTGGCGGGCACGGTATAGACTATACCACTCATTTTGTTCCTATAAAGTAATTTAATATTTCCTTACGATAATTTAAGAACCAAACATACAAATCATCTATTTCAGGTAACATCCATGGCTCTTCGTACCCATTTTGACATAATTCTTCTGATATTCTCAAAGGTGTAAAATATCTTGAAATGTTTGCGTTATAAGACAACTCTCTGGCTTCATTATAAGTATAGTTATCGTATTGAGCCAATTTACTTGTTGGAATCGATTCTTTCACAGATCTTGGTCTGAGTTGAGAGTATTTTAACAAACGCAACTGCTGTTCTCTGGTATACAAATCCTATGAAAATTTTTAATAGTGCTTTTTTATATTTTATGTCTAAATTTTACCAGGTTTGCTTTTTGGTAGATATAAGAGCCATTTGTCCACGTATTGTCGCCATTATATGCCACGTTTTCGTACGCAATGTTCAATCTTTCGTTAATGTTCATTGATAATGTTTTTGAGTGAACATTTTGTCAATTTGACATTTCAAAACAAAACAAGAACGGTATTATGGTCATCCCTGTACATAGTTTTATACAACGCTGTCTACAGTCTACTTAAGTTCGATCCCGACTGACGTCATAATTTTACGATTTTATGTAATTGTTACCATAAAACTAAAACAAACAAAAACTAAAACAAACCAAGGGCTGTCGCTCCCTTTTTTATCTCTGGCTGCTATAGACCTATCCCATAAAACAGACTTTTGGATAGCGCGTGCCTGAAGAAGAGTGGTATCTCTTTCTCTTTTATATAATTAAAAAAAGACGACGTGCCTTTTCACGCACGCGCTATCCAAAAGTCCGTTTTATGGGATAGGTCTATTGCCCGGTATCGGGAACGGGAATCTAAGCAGTAAAGGTGGGAGAGATTAAGAAACGACTGTTGATCGATAGTGTTTGCTGAGTCTCTCCCACCTTTACCGTTTAGGTTCCCGTTCTCGTTACCGGGCTGTTGTGCAGCGGCCTGTAGAATTGCGACCCCCTTGGCCGATGTTACCTCTTGCATACTAAGCTAGCGTCCTGCTACCTGAGCTACCCAGCTTAATATTAATTTTATAAAGTTGGGAAAATAATACCGATTTAAGCCTGATTTATAGTTTGATTGCCTTCCTTCCTTCCTCCCGTAGAATATGAACAATAAAAAATCCGTTGTGCTGTTTAAAGATTCCCGTACGGGAATCTACAAATGGCAGTACGATTTTCGTATTGTTCATCTTCTACGGGAGGAAGGAAGGAAGGCAATCTATAAATCAGGCTCTACAGATTGTGACGTCAGTCGGGATCGAACTTAGTCCCGCCTCGGGACAACGTTTATACAAACCAGATTTATTAACTAAATGCTGGTCTTCAAAATTTTTAACCAGAAATATATTTTTTCGAAGGTTTTTGGCGTGCTGAATCCAAATTTAACTGCTCCATCAGATCAGGTTTTCGAGAAAAATAACCCAAACCGTTTTTGCTAGATGTGAAGATTATTATTCAATTAGAAGATATTTGACCCAAAATTTAACCATTTGAAGACAAGAACGTTTTTAATTAAAACTCCTTAAAATGTGAAGATTTTTTAACCTTTATTTTAGGTGACAAATTTTAAGTGCAATTTTTAAAACAGAATTACATTTTCCGCGTGATAGGTTTCTCTATTTATTTTCAGTCGCATGTTAACAAAAGAGACGGCTAACTTAAGTTGGACCGTCTAAATATGGAAATCTGTATTACTGTCACTGAGAAATTCTCACTAAGGTCATGAAACATGGTATGCCATTGCGCATGGTAGCGCTGTCTCTCTCGCTCCTTATGACGTCACGTTATTAAAACTGATTGTGAGAGAAAATTGGTTTGAGGTAGTAACCTTTATAATCTGTGAGGTAGTATTTCTACGGATTTGTAATTTGTCATTGTGCCAATGCAGTGGCGGCTGGCGGATTTTGGCACACCCATATCTCAGTTATTAGACATGGGACTTACATCAAATTTATATGAGTTTATAATGACATTATATAGACAAGTTCTGCGCAAGCAGAATTTAAATAAAAGTTTGCGAAAAAAAGTTAGTTTTTAAGTGCAACCCCCAGCCTCCTGCCCCTCCAAATTAAGATAATTCAAATTAAAGTGGTACAATATTTAATTCACTGAAGTTTATCGACAAATTTCAAATTTTATTAAAAAAATTCAAGAATTACAGGTTTTATACCATTTATAATTTTTTTAAATTTAGTAAAAAAAATAATAAAAATTATAAATGGTATAAAACCTGTAATTCTTGAATTTTTTTAATAAAATTTGAAATTTGTCGATAAACTTCAGTGAATTAAATATTGTACCACTTTTATTTGAATTATCTTAATTTGGAGGGGCAGGAGGCTGGGGGTTGCACTTAAAAACTAACTATTTTTCGCAAACTTCAATTTAAATTCTGCTTGCGCAGAACTTGTCTATATAATGTCATTATAAACTCATATAAATTTGATGTGGGTCCCATGTCTAATAACTGAGATATGGGTGTGCCCAAAATCCACCAGCCGCCACTGTGCCAATGTATTTTTTAAACTATATATGCAGCGCAAATAAAATAATTATTGTTTTTTGTTATGGTTATTATTTTAAAAATAATAGAAGTAAAATTTATTAAACCCAGGGCGTTTTTATTTAAATTTGACAACGTAGAGGTTGTAGAACAGCTTTTTCAAATATATATTTTTATTTAGGCTTTTGTTTTCGAATTATGGAACTTCTTTTATTTTTACATAAACCTTTTTATCTCCGTTATTAGGTTTAGCCGGATTTTAAAAGAATTAAGTTTCTTGCAATTTTTAATTTATTTTCTACAATTTTTGTGTTAAACATTTAAAAAATATATCAACGAACGAAAATAAAAATGTTTATGTTAAATCAAAATAAGGTCGATAATTCAAAAATAAAAGCATTACAGCTAGCTGTAATGCTTAAATTGATTCCCTCCAACTTCCATGCAATATTACCAGGGCCGGCCCGACTTTTTTTGCCGCCCCGGGCGAAGATATTTTTGCCGCCCCCTTTTTATTCAGCAGGAATTGTAAAAAAAGTAGTTTAACGTCCCAGCTAGCACAAGTCTGTCCTAAGGACGTCCTAAGGAAAGCCTTACAGGATATTGGGATATCCCAAGGATATCCTAGGACGTCCTCAGACCTCCTCAGGACATCCCAACCATGGCCGAGTGGTGCAAAAAAGGCCAGCCTACAGACGTCCCGCAAATGGCCTTTAGGATATCCTAGGGATATCCCTAGGTCCATATAGGTCCAGGAATAGGACATCCTAAGGATGTCCCCTGAAAGTCCCATGGGTATATGTAGGTCCAGGAATGGGATGTCCTGAGGACATCCTCTGAATAGCCTTGTTATTTGTTGGGGATACATTTTAAACAATCAAATACCATTTTATTACTTTATAAAATATATTAATTTAATTCTGTATACATATATATAATTTTACACAGCCAATTATATAAAATAAAAAATAAACACCCATTATAAAAGTTAAATAAATAATAATTCTAAATAAATATAATAGTTATATTATTTATATATACACAGTGTCCAAAGTTATCTGCTCACCATTTTAACTCCATTATTATTGCAGCTACAAATTCGGTTAAATTAGCAAATTAGTGGCATTTTTTCTTCTGATTAAAATGGTTAAGACAGAATAACAATTGAACATAAGGTTTCTGAAGTAATTACAAAAATAACCTTTATTAAATGAAAAGATTGCTACAACATTGCAGCAATATTGCATTACGGTTTGATGCAACATTACAGATTACAAAGCAATATTGCGTCAACATTGCAGCAATGTTGGTTTGCTCAGTGGGATGCTTAAGGCTTTCCTTATTACCTGGGCTTTTGGGCATTTCTTTCTTTTGAGTGGCTTGTTTGTAAGGATGTATCTCACATTATTCTCTTCGTTTCGCTATCTAACGAGTTTGTTCGCTGTATTATCATATAGTCCAGTGTGTTCTCCCTTCTTCCTGTTTGACATGTCCGGGAGCGGTATCCTAAGTATGTATCAATACAATTCAAATACCTACTAGTGGTACAAATCATTTAAGTATGACCAAGAAATGAATCTGGACCTATTCGTATCATTTGTATTGTTAATTTGAACATTATAAAAGATAAATAAATAATAATTCTAAATAAATATAATAGTTATATTATTTATATATACACAGTGTCCAAAGTTATCTGCTCACCATTTTAACTCCATTATTATTGCAGCTACAAAGTCGGTTAAATTAGCAAATTAGTGGCATTTTTTCTTCTGATTAAAATGGTTAAGACAGAATAACAATTAAACATAAGGTTTCTGAAGTAATTACAAAAATAACCTTTATTAAATGAAAAGACAACTTAATATGGAACAAAAAATTATTATAGCATAACTACCCTAAACTTAAAAATAAACAATTAATAAGCACTGGAACTTTCTGATTGTTGTTGAAACGATTTTTTTATTTTTTAACAAGTATGCTTATTATAACTCACCAGAATGTTATGATTCTTGTTCACTTCAATCTTCAAGCAAATTAGTATTTAAGGTTTATTTCGAAGAGAATGTTCTCTAAGTGTTCACTATAATAATATTATATTATAACAAACACACTTGGAGAACACAAGATTCACGGCCTTAAACCAGGTTCACGACACAGAAAAAGAATTCACGGCACAGACAAAGAATTCCTTTCACAGTGTTATCTATGATTCTTTCTAACAAAAAGGCGCCAAACAACCATATAACAAATATACAAACAACAATATGCAAACAACTAAAGGGCGTCATCTTAGCTTTCTCTCCACCCAGTGTTACCACCACAGAACATGGTTACCACCATAGACAATGGTTACCACCATAACGTATGGCGGCAAATTTAAAACAATCGGTAACACAAACTATTAAATAAGTTATAGATTGCGTTTGTAATTACATTTTTTAAGGTTAACTGACGCTTACTACCTTATTTATTATTTATAAAACTCTAAATGTATCAATACCTTATAAACAAGGTGTTTGAACAATTATTAATTACCAGCCGTCATTTATGCGCATGCGCTATCCAGTTGTATACAAAATATATTTTGTGGTCATATAACAAATACACAAAATATAATATTGTTTTTAAACTCCCGCCTTTAAAACGCCGATTATCGTACATGTTTCCATGATATTTTAAATACACATTGACAAGTTGTGGCTTTATGGCGTTTTAGTCACGGGCTGAAGTTGGCAGCAATGACATTCGGACTTTTTAGTCATGGGTTGAAGTTAATTGCAGTTGTCAACTGCGAAACAATACCCATCAAAATAAAGGGTCTAAAAAGTGAGGTTAGAATAGACTGGTCGATGTCAGATTTTATAAATAATTATTTATATATAATTGTTGAAAGTTATTTAATTTTTGTGATTGTCGTTCAAAAAATATACTATGCAAGTCGTTTATAAACTTAAAAAAGTCTATATAATATTATATATAATATTATAATTATATTGATTGACATTTTTAAGATGTGCCTATGCAAAATAAGTTATGTAAAAAATGTAGGTATTATTAATTATATGGATAACATATTCTTATAGAAAAATGTTCATACCAAATGTTTACCAAAACCTAACGGGACATTCTGAGGATGTCTCTGGGATTAGT